TATTGAATTATCCGAATATATATTGCACAGGGGTTTAGCTTAGTTGTTTAACTGATGGCATCTAATATTATTTCAATTTGCCACAGTTTGTTGGTTTTCAGAAGGATCTTACTCAATTGGAAGAACAAGTGATGCGCAAAAGGTGCAAACTTAGTGCAGGTACTTCAGTTCAGTTCCCATTCCCCTGCATCACTATTTATTCATTTCTTTGGAGATAAATGCCTGGAAGGAAAAAAGGTAACTGTATTTGATGAGAATTACGGTAATCATTATATTATACATTCCCATCTAATCATAACATCACTTTACTAGCATGGAGATTATTCTTAGAAATCATTTTCCTATTTATATATATATATATATATACATCTCCCTAAATTAATTTCATTAGATCACCCTGCTCTGTATAAATATTTGTTCGACTGCATTTAGAGTCATGTGTAGCGACTAGCTGGAAAAGTTTACACCAACAATTAGATATGTTATCAGTGATATCAAACCTTAACACTTGTATACCTACTGTCATCACTTGAAACTCTTTCCTTTTCTTCCGTTTTTGCCTTCTTCTTTTGCCGTTTTTGTTTTTCATTCGTCTTTATCAGCAGTTAAGTGTTTCATATATTTTCAAAGCTTCAATTACCGTGGTCTCTTTATGTGGAAACTTACAGAGAAAGTACAGTTTCCATTTGAAATTTTCAAACACCAGTTACAGTTTCCAGTTTAATTTATTTTCTGTTTTGCTAAAATGAATCAGTGAGCAAGTTCTAGATCAATGCTATAACATACATTTGAATTCTCGGACTTAAATGAATCAATGCTATAAACTTGGATTTTTTTAACACAGGAGGGGTACAATTGTTAATCTCATATTAATTCATTATTCTAGGATTCTACTTGTTAATTAAATCTAGGTTCATATTGGTGTTCAATTTTCTGGTGCTGCCAATCTTATATTAGCGTAGTTTCTTTCAAGTGTAAACGCCACTTCTCTGTTCTTGGCACTCTATAAAGTAACCAAGAGAAGTGTTTGGCGCCAGAAAATTATTCCTGTTGTTTCAATAAGAATTCTTATTGGATAGTATTCCTTGTTTTTTCAATAAGAATTGGTTGTAAATTGTTTGCTTCATCTATTAATCTGCAACATTTGTTATATGCTTCCATCTTACCACTGGATGCATTTGGCACCTCTCTTTCCTCACTTTGTAACCTTTGTGTGAAGAATCCGAGTTATTATGAGATAACCTACACGCAGTAATGTCTCTTCAGAATTTGATGATACTCTTTTGCAGATTTGGGGCTAACATCCATTTGAAGTGTAAACAGTCCTTAGAAGTTGTTTATAAAAATTTGATGAACTGGAGGGTTTACTGGAGTGTTGAGGGAACCTTGAAGCTTTCATTGAACTATCTATTTGTATATGTGAGAATCTGAAGAATCTACCAGCAGTGGAAGCTCTGAAAATTTCCCCAGAATGAAAAGATGCACCGAGGAGAGCCAGAGTCATGTGTACGTTTCTTTCTCAAATCAGAATTTATGATTTGCTTTCTTGTCCTCTCTCACTTTCATCTGTTGTTAATTAACTTATTGGCCATTAATTTTGTTGTCTACTGCAAATTGAAGGAACATATTCAACTCATCAGTAGTTTGTTGTTAATTAACTTTCTTTCTCAAAGAAGAAGTTGAGGAAAAAAAAATTAGTTTACTATAAATTGAAGGAACATATTCAACTCATCAGTAGTTTGTTTGGTTTTAATTGCTTCGTTGAAGGAACTATAAATACAACATTGTGTTTTCACAATCTTTGTGGAATAACACTTAAGATTGTTGAGGAAAATTAGGTTTGTTAGTCTGGAAGACCAACTAATACATAGAGAACAGGCAAGACCAGTTCAACTCTTGCATGATTTTGTTCCAATTTTTCGGATATGCAAACAGAAGCTTTTAGTCCTTAGTTTCATAAAATGGCCTTGTTTTTGTTGCTGGTGTTTATGTGGTCATGATGTCATTGCAACATCTGGTGTAATCCTCTGTTTCATATTTTAATTTTTGTTTCTTTTCCAGGCAAGGAGATACATGGCATAATGCAGCCAATGGTGTTTTTCATAATGCAGGTTTCAGCTATATAAATGGCATATCAGTTGTTGACGGTGATTAACTTTTTTACCTTGAGTATCTTATAGTACACTAAAATAATAATAATCATGATACATGTTGATTTATTTTCCTTTTTCCCGTTTCTACAGTTAAGGTCCTCTGTTATTTGATAGCATGTCATTTTTACTTATGCTGTTGCAAGAATCAGGTAAAGGAGTCTTTAGTTATAAGCTGTTTACCATCATTTTAAGGTTGAAGGTAATTTTGAACATTTCTTGCTAAGTTTATCTTGGTGTTATTATTGACCAGACAGAGTCGAGATTGAAGAAGAAACTCATGCGTGCGATGTGCGTGTGATCTAGAACTTATTGTTTTGGACAATATGGTAAGCTACTATTCCTTTTGTTTGTTTTCTTGACACATAATATAAGTAGAGTTATATTCTTATTTATGAGATAACCTACACACAATCATGTCTCTTCAGGATTTGATGATAATGTTTTGCAGATTTGGGGCTAGCATCCATTTGAAGTGTAAACAGTCCTTACGAGTGAACTCAACTAAAATTTAGAGCAACCTGTGCAAAACACAAAAGTGAACATAACCGTGACAGTCTCATTTTAATGGAAGTGCGATTTTGAGGTTGCTATTGTGAAACAATGGAAGAGAAATACATGTACAGAGAGACATCGGGAGAGAGCTGCGGGCATCACAATGGACGAACATTGGGTATTAATCATACTAACAACAATAGCCCTTTGTGAAAATGGGAGAATGCATGAGGAATACTATGTGATACTACTTCTCACTGTACAAGACAAAACATAAAACCACAACTCACATTCCAGCAGCAGATTAAGAGACTTGCTTCAGAGCATTGGCAATCTCATTAGCTTTTGCTTGCCCACTCACACAGGTGACCAACAAGGGGCTCTCTAGTGGAACAATGCCATCTCTTAGATAGCTTCCTGATGTTTTTAGCAACTCTTCTGAACCCTTTCCCACCACCTCTTTCATGATTATGGTCTTAGCAGCTGTTTCCTTTTGATTCCAAAGAATAATGTTTTTCACTTTGTTATCAGTCAATTGGCAGTGATGTTGAATCAATTTTGTTAAGCAGGTTCAAACTTTGGTAATTGATTCTTAGCTGACTAATGATGCTTCCTTTTCTGATGTTACACCAATGTTACACCAATGTTACACCAAAACTGCCGAGACCCTCTTCTTCCTCTCATCCATTAACGGTAAATGGAAGAACAGTGGAACCTTGCCAAACTTCCACCCTGCATGTTTCAGATAGGTTGGGAGCCGCAAATAATGTTAAGGTGGACAATAAGTACCTCAAGAAAGGGCATTATTGAAGCTCCGTCATTTGCTGAGAAGCTCATTCTAATTGAGCATTTAAGAGAGAACTAGCCACAATTTTGATATGTAACGTAGAACTCTTATTTACAAGAAATGGACGACAGAAGGAAAGTGAAAGTAGTTGCATTCATTCGCTGGCCTCCCGAAATTGTTCACCGCTCTGTTTTTACAAATTTGCTGTCGTTTAATTTCCAAGTCTGGCACACTTTGCGCATGATACTCAACTTTTTTACTTCTTTCTATCCTTGAGACAAGTGCGTATTAGATTCATTTTCCTATGTTTTCATTTTTGGATTATTAGTAGTTACTGAGTTTTACTTTTAAGTCTCCTCCAAGATACAAGATTGATGAGTTTTCCGTGTGGGAAGAGGGAACCTTAGTAGAGGGAGAATTTTTTTATATGTTCCGGGTACACTACGTGGTTGGTATACTATCCAATACACATAGGATATGTGGAATTATTCTCCAACTAACCACATTGCTTTTTATGATTTGTAGCTAGCTGCATTGGAAATATTTCACATGTCTTATGTCAATTGGATGGTGCACCAGCCACATAATTTATCTGGAACACTCATTAAAGGAGACATGATGAGAGAGGGTTAGTGATTGATGGTGTGCCAACAAAGGAATGGGGAGTTTAAGCAAGCAAAGTATAATTAGATGAGTGCATAAAGTGAAGTCTTATTAGCGAGTGTTCCATGTCTTTTCACAAGGTTCTCTGTTTTATTTAATTAGATTTTCTTGTGGGTGAAACTTCTCCGACAATAAATAATTTACACTAGAAAATCAATACAAATAATTCCGTTGCATATTGCTGCTCAAAGTAGATATAGAGATATTGCAAAAAAATTGTTAGTGAATAATGCGTTATATTATAGAGTAGAAGAATAAGGTAAGATTAAAAAAGATACAGTACCACTTTTTAAAAAAATAAAAATAAAATTTGTAGATAGATTGATTTCCGATACTCGATGTATTTTCTATGCCCCAAGTGGCCATGTTCTAAATTGATAAATTATTTGATATATATATATTCCATTTGATGTTGGAGAGAGAGAATAAGAATAGGAGATGTCTGGTGCCGAATCCATGTCCATGGATAAAGAGAAACAGAGAAAAACATAAAAACAAGAATTTGATATTTTTTTAGTTTATCTTTAAAAAAAACTAATTAAACATATTCATGAAGAATATGCATACACACTTCTCAGCCAAAAAATTAAAAATAAATTTCATAATGTCAAAATAAGATTTTCGCAGCCTTAAAGCTTAGAGAATGTCACAAGGAGTTTCTAACGGGTGTCCTTCGACAACAACTTCACGTTTCATTTCAGCTATATTTGTATTATTTATCTTTAATTTGAGTAGATGATAACATCTACTTCATGTGTAATAATAGCCTTGATCGAAGCATGATAACGTCTCTAATTTTTCTCTTCCTTTTCAGCCACCAATTGTTGACCATGCATATATATCCTATACTACTTTTCATACATTGTGCCACTTCTCGTCGTTGAACATATTCCACAAGGTTCCTCATGTGCGTAATAGGTGCAGGTACTTCAGTTTAGTTCAGTTTCCTTTCCCCTCACGGTATTTAATGAAATTTACATTAATTATCATCATATCATTAATTCATTATTCTACATAAGGATCTATTTGTAAATTAAATCTAGATTCATATTGGTGTACAATTTTCTGATGATGCCAATCTTATATTAGCTTGGGGGGAAGGGGAAGTACAAGTCCGGAATAAGAGGTTCATATTGCGTAATAGGTGCAGGGTTTCAGCTATACATATGGCATATCATTTATTTAATTTAATTTTTTTCTTTTTGCGAGAGCATAGCAGTTGTTGATCTATTTTTCTTTTTCTTTTTCTTGTTTCTACAAACAGACTTTGATATTAAATATGAATTGTGAATTCAATTTCGTTGTGTTTGCTGTAATAAAGTTGGGAAATAAGCTGGTGTAATCAGGTTTCAGAAATAGTGTGTTGAAATGATCAGGCTACAAATTGTGTTCTAATATAATCACTTGGGGACGTGAAATGACCAAAGTGCCCTCCATATAAAAGCAGATGTATCAACCCTAACACTTTTGACT